GAAGTTTATCAGTGTTGGCCCATCAAAATCAGACTTTCGGTATTACTCCGTGCTATGACCAGGTTGGTAAGCTATGTACGTTCAGTACATGTACATTGAACGCCTGTACATGTTTACAAATGCACAGGTTGGCTTCAAGAACACTATACGATGTAATTCATACTACTTATGATGGAAGGGGGCCATGCTAAGAAACGGTGATCTCGTTCGCACGGGCAAAATCACAATTATAAAGTCTTTTCACTGAGCACTATTCCTGCACAGATTAGAAGCTAATTGCAAAAATGATTTCATGGGATTTCCCGGAGCAAAAACTGAACAAAGCCAGAAAAACCTGAGAAAAAAACTATCTTCAAAGTCGCACCCCTGTACCTTTCCAAAGGCCCGCTCACAATTCTTGCTGCCAAGACAATTTGTGCACATGAAAAATCCTCCTTTTACATACTCTGGTCTATGCAGATTTGAAAAAATTCAGTTGCAACATTTGAAAAGAAGAGATAGCAGTACCAAAGAGTAAAAAATGAACGTATTTTGCGCTTTTTAAAATCGCTGTTATACGCGCAAGACTGGTGGTATATGTTAACTTTATATCAAAGATAGCATAGCGCGGCGCTATACTATCTTTGGTTTGTATGTCTGTTATCCGCCCCAAGCTGAAGTGCACCTCTAATCGGCGAAAGAATAACAGGTGGTTAGAAGCGGGTTCTTGCGCGCGTTCTGCGTGTATACTCAACAACCATACGTGCCGGAATAAATTAGTTACGCGTACTCAGTGGGCTTCCCGTCAAAGGCGTATAAACTTGTACACCTGAGGGGGGCTAATGGCACCTCGCCTCTTGTGCCATTTGCCTCTTGAGTGAATAAAACACCTTGGACCCTTACATTGTAGGTAATAATTCGGGCGATTCACAAGAGTGCATCTCCAGGAGTTTGCAGCGCGTTGGACATTCATCATAATATCTGTCGACCTTTGAAACGCGCATTGGGATGAAAGATTTCGCGCACTTTGATTGACCAACGCGTTGCAAACTCCTGGAGGCGCACTACAGTGAAAATGCCCGTGTTGCTGAATGTATGCAGTTAATGGGAAAATAGCCACAGATAAAACAAAAACACAAACCAAACCAAATGGCAGCTACAATGCATGCTAATATTTATACCGAATGAGCAAAATCGTTTTTTTAAATCGAAATTGAGGTGGGTCAAACAATGTGGAAAAATCGAAATTTAAGAACATTTAAAACCTTGAATGGCCCCTTAGTCCATTTATTAGGTGTATGAACACGCAGCGTGGGCGTCACAGGAACAGCATTTGAGGCATTTGCCCCTCCCCGAAAAAATGAAAAGGGAAAATGAAAGAAAAAATGAAAGAAATGAAAAATTAGAGATAAAAGGAAATGCAAATAACCTATTTGCTTACAAAGATAACCTCGAAATTGCCTTGGTAATTTATTTGCAAATTGCGGTACGATTCTATTTTGCAGTTAAGGTTCAAAACAAATCTTCTGATGGAAATTCTAAATAGTAATCTAAAAGTAATAGTAACTATTTTTTCTTTTTTTCAAGATGTACTTTGCGCCGAGGAGATGTTAATTTTAATTACTTTTTTTGCCCTTATCCGACGTATATATTTATAAACACTCCACTCATATCGTTTGCGGTACCCGCTGCTACACCTGATTAGGACAAGCCAACCGCCTCCGACAAGCTCGGTGGTCGAGTAATTAAGACGTCTGGACCTAGTAAGCAGGAGGTTGTGAGTTCGAGTCTCACCCGAGTGGGCCTGTGATTTTTTTTCGCAAGCTCTCGGTCTAGCACTGAGTATACGGTGCTTAAAAAATCTATGTAAAGTTGTGCTCAAAATTATTAATAACCTTTGACAACATACTTTTCTAAATTCTTCATTTGAAACTGCTATTATGTTGGTACCTCCACTATATCTTTTGTCTGTTTGTTGCAATACACAAAGCCACATGTGTGTTGGCTGAACTTCATTTGCCTATATAGTTACGGCCCGAGTTTCTTTTCTGCTCCAGATCAAAATTATTCAACCTAGACAAAATCCCCCCCAAAAGTCCTTTCATTCACACTTATTTTCACTTTCTATGACTGCCGGAATCTTTGGCATGAAGCTATTTCAAGATGTTCCAATAGAATAAATACCTTCTTTTGAAGACTTTGTGTTCCAAATTCTCACGAAATGCCATCTCCCCCAAATAGTATATAAAGAAGAAAAGTTTTAAGATCATTCTGAGTTACTCGTCACCATGGCCAAGAAGAAGGAACTCAGTGAGGATATACACCAGTATATCGTGAATGCCCATAAAGAAGGCAGAGGCTACAAGGCAATTTCCATGCAATATGAGATCCTGTTAAAACAGTTCAGAGTATCATCAGGAAGCATAAGAGGTTCAATATAGTGAAAAACTTCAATGGGCGTGGGAGGAAATGCAAAAAATGTCCTAGACTCGCCAGAAAAATGTGCCGGGAGGCCAACAACAACCCACGGATCACAACCAAGGCCCTAATTGATACCCTTGACAAGGCAGGGACGAAGGTGTCAGGGGCAACAATCCAGCCAGTATCGCACAAAGGAGGTCTCCACGGACGCAGGCCCAGGAAGACACCACTACTCAGGAAGAAACATAAGAAGACTCGTCTGGCATTTGCTAGAGCACATCTGAACCTAGATCCTACCTTTTTGGTCATCGGTCCAGTGGTCGGATGAGACAAAGATGGAGTTGTTTGGCCACATGGATATTGCCTATATACATATAGAGGAAGCAAGGAGAAGCGTACAAGCCGACGAACACAGTCTCAACCAAGCATGGTGGTGGCAACATAATGCTATGGGGTTGCTTCTCTACTAGTGGCACCGGGAACCTCATTTAGATACAGGGCATCACAAAAAAGGAGGATCATATCAAGATCCTGGATGACAAAGTGAAAGCGTCTACTGAGAAACTCCAGCTTCGACCTGATTGAACGTAGGGTACCAGCAGGACAATGACCCCAAGCACACCGCCAAGGTAATAAAGCAGTGGTTCAAGGACAATGGCGTCCATGTAATGGAATGGCCAAGTCAAAGTCCTGACCTAAATCCAACAGAGAATTTGTGGAGAGAGCTGAAGGCCAGAATGGTGGCAAGGAGAGCGTCCTACCTGACCCAGCTGGAGGCTGGGCAAAGAAGGAAGGAAGAATGGGCAAACTTATAGGAACCGTCTTGAGGCAGTTTAATAAGAAAGGTCACGCTGTTGACTTTTAAGAAGAGACTTTGGACTATGTAAAACTGGGGTATGAATAATTCTGACCAGGAGCAAAAAAGAATTCAGGGCCGTATCTAAATGAAGTTTAGCCAATGCACATGCGTATTGCAAGGCAAAAGATATCGTGGAAGTACCAACATAATAGCTGTTTCAAATGAAGAAATTAGAAAAGTATGTTATTTTCCAAAGGGTATGAGTAACTTTGAGCACAACCATACGTTGGGTAAGGGTACAAAGCCCTGAAATTGATAGTAATCAAGTTTATTTTTATTGATTTCTGTAAAACATAATAGTGATGTCACAGTGCAAAGTCTTATTTTCGTATTAGTTTTGTAAAAATAGGTTTATCGTAAAATGAAATCAACATTTTCAAGTTGGTCCATTGTAGTGTCAAGCATACATATGTTAGGATTCATATTAAGCCCCAGAAGAAAAAAAGCTATTTATGCACAATAATTGCATTTGGATGTTGGATATTGTTGTCTGAATAGTCTGTGGGATTGGTGGTGTATTTGGTACTAAACTTTAAGTCTAATAAAATGAGATCTTCACTCTGACCGTTCAAAAGGCCGTCGTGTTCTTCTCGATTTTTCTCAAAGCAGTGAACTCAAACGTGAGACAACTCTGTAGAATTAAAGCTGCTGTAAATTTTATACCCCAAATCAGCCAATCCTGCAAAATCACGAAGGAGGGGGGGGATTGAAAAGAATGTCAGACTGAAAAAGGGTGATTTCTAATTCTCAAAGAACTTTGATTACCTGTATTATTATTGTGTACCTCTAAAATGGGCGTAGCATGTTTTAAAGAAAAGTAATTCGAAACAAAATATCTAAAAGTCACAAAGAGAGAACAAAACTGTTTAAAATCATTTTATGCGCGACCTTTTTGCCTTCGAAATTGGACAAACGAAAACGTGAATTTATTTTCTGAATGAAACAGAGCACCCCTCGGCGATATTTTGCTCGTAGTTTGAAATCAATTGAATAACAGTTAAAATGAATGAAAGGTGCCAAAACCTGAATGAATCGTGTTTTAAAATAGCCGGGAAAACCTATACATGTACGTTTTAAACCAGCAGGCGTGTGTAGATGAGTGCTAACCCAACGTGCTGAGTTATTTGAAGAAACCCAGCGAATCGAGTCTTTGTGCAGTGCTTCCAGAAAACACACAAAAGCAGTACATCACAATGAGTTGACACTTTCCTGTTTTACTGTATTTATTGATACAAGGTCAAGAAGGTATTTTTAGACAATACATATATTTGATTGTAGAGGCTCCACCATTTAAGTAAATATCAAGGCCTTATTGTTGACATAGTGAAACAGGTGAATACAGAATAAACAAGTTTCTGAAGATATTTCAACACCACTTTCCTCCAAGAAAAGAACTATGTACCAACACAGTACATGTCAACTTATACCTCTTTCATCTTTACGACAAACACTTAGGGGCTCAAGATGTAAAAACAACCCAAAAATAAACGATTCATATACTTTTATGTAAATACACTATATATTTAGGTTTTGCCAATGAAACATTATTTTACAATAAAATATAGAACACAGAAATATTCTTTAAAGTTAACTTACATTTTGGTTAAATTTTTATCTCTTAATACTTAAAAAGCGCAATAATTATATACAATAAGCCTCACTTTATATGTACAATGCCCTCAAATCAAACAAAGACCTATATTTTCATGCCCAATACAACCATATTAACAAGCTTCGTTGGGGGCTTAATTCGACACCATGCTCGCCCCATTCTCAAAAAATAAAGCGCTTGTACATGTTAAAGAAATAACATTTGAGGCGTTGCTAAAGTTAAGACCACAAGAACATCCAGCAGTGATAAACCAATCCTCATAAATCCCCCCACTGTTCCATTTCTTTAAAGTCTACCATTGGGCAAATGCAGATTTCTTTACAACCTCACGAAAGAAGGCATTAAAATTAAGCTTATATTCATCCGCTTCCCCAACAAATCAAAGGGGGGGGGGTTTAAGAATAATTTAGTATATACACATTTTTTGGTCACATTTACTCAAAATTACACAAACACAGTTGAAACAGTAATGACCGAACAATTCTCCACAAAGTTAATATACAAAATGAATGAAGATTATTTAGGTCGTTTATATTTATATTTCTTACTCGGTGGGGAAGGTTATAGTATTTGTTTTTACCTCTTGGGTGTTTGCTATCAAAAAAGTCAATGTGATTGTGGTTTACAGCACCGACCTCCTTTGACGTAAGTGCCCTTAAAATTACAACACAGTTTGTCGATTTACATTTGATTGCGTGGACTGGGCAAATGGTCACCTACTCTGTTCGTTCAAAAGGCCCGAAACTGTTTCTAGTATTTGTTTCCATACCTTTGTCAATTAGTTTACCTTGACTAGTATCCGATTTCCTGAATCTACATCTCATTGCGCATATGTATAGGTTTAAATAACGAATTTTACGCATGTCAGACACCAAAGACTTGAAAGTTAATTTCAACAGTTGTTCTTCAATTCCAGTCGGACCATTCACATTCAAGTAGCATTAGGAGCTAAGCAACAGGTACTTAAATGTTTGAACTGTTTTGTTTTCAGTGAAGAACAGATACATTATAATCTTATTTGTTTCAATAAAGAGTGCAAGCGTAAGAAGCATATTTTTTGTTAGTACAGTTGGAAGTTATGAACTAAAAATCAGGGCTTTGATCACAACAATTAATATTATTTGGTATAGCTAAGATATGTACACGCCTGGTGGTTCACCGTTAGTGCTTCCGCCTATCCTTCCGTCTGTTTTCAATCAGCGAAGGCAGCCTTGTTGACATCGAAGGAAAAAGTGTTGCTAATAATCCACTGGATCCATCTAAAGGGAATAAAGTAAAGACATAACAAATTTTCATGATACTCCAACTAAGTTGCCGTGAGGGATTCTGAAGAAAACGTTCCGTTGCTCATTTTAAGTATTACCTGTGCACACAGGACAGCATTCACCTTTGATCTCCATTGTTTCTTCGCATGATAATTTGGGACAATTCTTCTTTTTGCATTTTGTTGAGCCGTTCTGTAGAGAAGAAAAGAAAATCTTGTATTGCTTGTCAACATACTCTATTAAAACCCTGGTAAAAGCATTTCGTTGGTCATGCAAAATGCCAGATCTCGTGCTAGCTTTTAATTTACTTTTGGAGATATCTGTAGAAAAGCAAGTTTCACAACTGACCGAAGAACAACACGAACTTCAAAATGTTACAATAAAAGAAACATACATCAGGAATAAGTGCAATGATTTATGAGACGCTACCAACTTGATGCTGCTTCTTCTGCCTGACAGTTTATATAACGCAAAATTATTGCTCCTATAAGCCAAAGCCTGACTGTAAGATTTACTTCAGGTCGTATTATGGCTGTTCTGTTTTAAAAACTACGATTTCCTCTCAATTTACAATCTCATAAAAACCGCAATTTTTATTCATTTTATATGACATCATTTATAAGAGCTCACTTTGCATCTGCATTTGACGCAGAAGGAAGTTCCAAAGGGAGGTATTTGTGGATGCCATTCTTCATCATTCCTGTAGAAATCTCCATGAAATGAACACCCTGTGGCAAAACAATAGCGGCAGTGCAATAAAGAAAAGCTGAAAGCAACATAAAAGAAACAACTAAAGAAAACAATTCATTGCTACGGGATGAATGGAATATGCATTCTAATGTGCAGAATTACATGGATGACAGTCTAAGCACAGACACAAAATTAATCAACCAAAAAGCACAAATGGAGTAGCGTGCATTCGGCTCGTTGCCAAAAGTCAGCAGAGAAAGCAGCGAAGATGTTCCCAAGACTCATTCAGTAATCTAAAAAAATTCTTTTTTATGATATTTTATATACATGTACAACGATTGGTTGCTCTTAGCTATGAGATGATTTCTGAGGATATTAGTCCATGTGCATTTTATCTGTTAACTTAAAAATTCAGGGCATGCGCGGAATACATAAAGTTTTCAGGAAATTAAACCAACCGGTAAAAGTAATACTAATTGAATGTGATCCTTTTGTCATATTGCAAATAAAATACGGCAATTTCAGCCAAGTGCTAGACACGGATGGAAATAATAATTAAAGGTTCACCTCGCTCCACTTCATCAGCTTGTATGACATCACTCTCCACAGGTTCGGGAGTCGTAGATGACTCTTCTGTTTACATATAAATTTTCCACATTTCACAACGTAGAAACGTACAATCAGGTGGCTACTATCATGTTGCTATAGATGTCTGTTTATCTGAGCTGATGAACTGACTTTTTATTCATTTTTTTGAAACAATCCTTTTTTAAAACAGTTAAGAAATTCGACAGGCCTGCACACAGAAAAACTACGATTTGAAACATCAAGCTATTTAGTACTAAATATTTCCAACAACGTTGACTTTGTATTGTTATTAGCTTATAACTGCATAGGTGAAAGGCCAGACCAAAACTTACCAGGGCAAGTCTGACAGCAATCTGTTGGGTTCATCCTGACTGGTCTCTCGCAGTCTAGTTTAGGGCACTCTACCCTCTGACAATCATATTCACCTGCTGACTGTGTGAACAAAGCAGAATCGTAAAATGTTGCCGCATGCTGTATCGATATAAACAGTTTGTTAAACAAAGCATTTACAAAATCTTTATACATACAAAATGTAGAAGGTATGAAACCTGGATGGCTAATAGGTTGTCAAGTTCTTAAGAAGTGTCCATTTTGCCCTCTTGCCGACTAAAGAGACATGCAACATGTAAGAATAAGAATACTGCACACTCACACGGCAAGTGCATATAGCACACTGGATGTAACCAAACGGTGGTACAAATGGATGCCACTGTGAACCAACACTATGATATTTCTTATCTCCTTCAAAGAAACAGGTCTCAGTTTCCAGACTACCCTCCTCTGCAGAAAAAGAATGAAGACATTAGAGAAGGTCGTTATAATTTCTCAAATCAGGACCACTGTTTGGTCAAGGAAAACGAATCCTGATGAAACTGGCACAAGGTTTGGCTATTCCTGTTCCAGATGGGAAAATAAACAATTCAGCTTTCAGAGTACATGGCCTACCACTGGGTCCTTGGTAGATGAAATAAAAACATAATAACTCCAGCCTTGTCAAAATTTGAAATAACTCGACAGGTAATCGCTGATTATAGTGTCATCAGAATTACTGCCAAATTGAATTAATCAAGTCACGACCCAACGATTACCTATCGGACATATTGGGCAGCATTCTCCAGGCACCTTCACGGGATTGGTGCATGCAAGTTGAGGACAAACCACAGGGTCGCATATCACCACGCTTCTCTGTAAAATAAAAGACAAGAAAACTGGTAAGGGTTTAAATTTTCTCTTACGACGATAATACACGGCAGTGATTGGCTAATTATCCGAATAACACCCACGGATTCTCCAAATTAATATAATTGTGCATTTTCACAGTTGTGAAAATTCAAATACAATTAGAAATGCAGAATTGGTGATTCAGTATATGGTTTTGTTTATTGTCGAGGTTTAGTATAGATCTTCAAATTATTACAAATCATATCAACCTAACATTTAATCATTTCAAAATTTTACTGCGGGTTTGTTAAATAGCAGTAATCAAGATAACTTGGAAAAGCCAGGGGCAAAAAAAAAGTTTTCCTATTTTTCAGATTGTCTACTTATATTTGCAAGTTAAGATTAATTCAACTCTGACGCTTATACCTGTATTTACAAAAATTTATTTCAATCCTGACATGCATTAATATGAGCAATTCTACCTTACATATGCAGGTAGTGCAAACAGGGTCATAATCTGGGGACCAACTTGAATCGGGAATCCGGTAGCGTGATTCAAAGAAGCAGGAATTGGGGAGTGCCTCAACACTGGCACCATGCGAAGCATCATCTATGAGGGTTGGGCCACTGGTATGTTGGGACCCAGAAGATGATGAGCTGTAGCATGTGTTGGGTAGCACCACCTGTTATTAAATCATAAAACAGTATTTCATTGGGGAGTCAGGTTGGCCTAGTGGTTCTTTCCTTGCCTTTCACCTCTGCAGTCCAGGTTCGAATCCCGACCCGGTCGATATGTGGATTGGGTTTCAGTCCCTGATTCCATGGGTTTTACCCAGAATATTCCTCTCAGGTTTTCCACCCACCACTGTAACTGTAACTGGTTCTCAATGTCTCTACAGGTTTTTCAGGCCTATGAGATACGGTGCCTCGGGCACTTTTGAGGAATCCTTGGTGTCATTAATAATAATAATAATTACCGCTAATGGGTCATTAGGAGACATTCTCATAAGAACGTGCACAAAATTTTGCCAACTTTACTGTCCCATAATTCAATATTCCCTAGTCTGATCAGAACCAAACTTTGTATGTTTTCATTTGAGGCCCTAAACTATCATCTCTCAAAATATGGACGGTAAAATTCGGACTCCTTCTGGTAGTTTGAAAATAGGGAGACACTGAAATGTGTCCCTGAAAGCCAATGTTTACCTAATGCTGAAAAATTTATCACAAAATGTCTCCCAAATGACCTATTTGTAAATATAATCCTTGGGGTCATTAATAATAATAATAAATAATAACAGCTTATTTAAGAGTAGGGCTTGGTAGATCGTAAGGTATGAAGGTGTGATGCAGTTTACATCAGTATTGATGACTGGGCCGATGAAGAATTTCGAGAATATAAATGTAAAATTAGAGCCAGCTTACCAATCCCCGAATTTCTCCATCCCTATAATTCTTGGAGCTGACTTGAATAAAGGCATTGCCATTATCCATCGACTCCAGAAGGGAAGGTGGAACATCGTACAATACTCCACCTGCCTACAATAAAAAGAATATAGTAGAATCCATTTTGAATCCTTGTCTAGAACACTTTGATTTCCCGATTCCCCCAAATACAGTGGTCCTTTATAATTGGTTACCAGCATTTTAAATACTGCTCAATTGTGTTTATTATTTATTTATTTAAAATCTTCAGACATGAAAACAATAAAAGTTATTACAGGGGCCGTCTTGGAAATACAAAGTGAAAAACTGTCATACTGCTCATGATTCTGACTACTCTACGAATCAAGGGTTCGGTATCATCCAATGTCCACGTGACCAAGACTGTTGAACGTAAACTCCCGTATCCTAATGGCAGCTGTTGATCTTGCAATATTTGACTTTACACTGAAATCGAAGGTCTCCTCAGTAATATCCCAGGAGAAGAATCTAGGAAGAATCAGGACCTGACGACGACTGGCAAATGCACACACAAACAGGGTGCAACAGTGTAATGATATCGAAAACACCCGGGCTCTCAACTTGTGACCCCGGACCCTTGCGTCACATCTATTTATATCCGTGGGTGATGCCTGACCTAAGATTTTTTTATCAAGAGTCGTCAGGGAATCTTTGGGCAGGGAACCAGACTAGCTGGATTTAGGCACGATGGAAAAGTTTGAGACACTTGGTGGCGGCAAACAAACCGGTCCTTTTGACCACAGACATATAAACGTATAAACCGCCAGATCGCATTCAAAACTACATGAACATTTCGTATCTGCGAAACAGGTAACTTTTCACAATCACGGTTACACGCGCGAGAATGACGGTCTATGTTTTTCACAGACAAAAGGACTGATATGTCTACTGCCACCAGTGTCTCAAAGTTTCCCATTCAAAACATGACTTTGCAAACTTTGATTGAAAATTGAATCCTTGAAAACTGTTTTTCTCGGAATATACAGCATTCACTGGGCTCAAACTTCAACGGTTAGTTGTAAAACACCCTTCTTAAGTTATTGAGCACTTTGATGCCTCAAAAGAGCATAATGCATTAATGACAATGACGGACTGGACCTCTCAATGTACTTTTTTAATTAACATGCCTCACACATTTTCAATTTGACCATTTGTAAGAAAGTACAGAAAGGTGTTAAACGTCTGAAGCCTTGTGTGCAAAAATAATTCTAATACATAATTACCAGGTTATTGTGGACCTCATTTAATACGTGTGTGACGACAAAGCTGTCTCCTTCAATTTCTCCAATCTCAGCAAAAACGTGATCGACGCTGCCATCTGACGCTGTGGATTCCTCGTCATTGATTCCTACTACGGACACTTCGTAATGCAATGCACACCTGGAGTCAAGGACCATAAAGGCGTGACCTCCGGCACCAGTTAACTGTGGCGGAGATATAATGCTTCCGGACATTTGGACTGGCATCCCTGTAAAGGTTATAAAATAAACACCTACATTCGTGTAACAACTAGTCCTACATTCACAGACGTGAATGACGAGACTAGTTATTAAAAATAAAGTTCAAATTTGCTTTGGAACATAAACAAAGGTGAAGAACAGGGGAAAGGGGTTGTTTTTTATTTAAAAGAAAAAGAAAAAAGACGCCGTCTTCAAAAACCTCTAGTCTAAAAACTGCTCATTGTCAATGTCCTTTCACAGCTAACTACTGTATTATGAACTCCCACTGTATGATGTGCAGAAACGTATTACCGTTGCGTTTTTACGCAAATGTGAGACCTGACAACCTATTTTTGATGTATGTACCTACGGTAATACATTTCCATAGATACATACATACACAGATACATTTCAAATTCAAATTTATCATAGACCTTGATGCATTATCATAACGTTTCAATCCCCATTTTTATCCTGAACCACTAGCCTTTAAAATATCGATTTATAACGGGGTCGATATTTTCCGATGGGCTTCTTTTTTCGTGCATTATATTCTTGCCTTGGCGATTGTGTAATCTCTCAGCAATATCTGGCATACCCTTATAAAATATGAATTAAATCGATGGTACAAAGTGACGTTAATATTCTTCTTTGAGTACGAGTATGCTGGGCTCATTTCACAAAAAAAATTTGGCAAAAAGTAGAGAAGGGCGAAGGTGTCTTCCAAACAAATTTCTGTTTCAATTTTCTGAGACCGATCTCTAATTTCGTTATATTTCATCCGAATCTTAATGAATAAGGCAAGATTGTTTAACCTTTGTAGTTAGCGAGGCTTGAGGAATAGGGTAGGGTGGTGATTTTTCCACGAAGCTCTGACGTCTCGTAAGCCTCTGTTGCTACGTTGATATACAGTCCGCCATGTAACAGTTGGTGGATTTCACGTGCCTTAGCTTTACTGTAACGTCCAACAGCCTGCATACACAAAATATTATCGGTGCTGTCGTTGAATTCAGACCCACATGCAATAAAATCCCTTCTATTTAGTCTTTTAGAATGAAACTGTATGTGCACCCACTACATACAAAAAATCGAAATAAAATTTTCAAAAAGTACATATCTTCCTTCCATGAAACGAATTAGCCTAGTATATGTTTGCAAATAATGCACTAGCTGATGTTTTCATAAAAGTGAGAAATTCGAATGAAGCGGTGAATGTACCTGACGAGAACAGAAAGGGCAAGATGTGTGGGAATTGTGCATGCAGTCACCAATCACAAGACTCACCGTGTTAAAAGCAGTCACTATACATATGCAGTAGATGACTTGATACCAGTAAACTACGTGTATATGAACTGCTTACCTGGCCATTTCTGTAGTCTTTCAGTATGTCTGCCACAATCCTCCGTTTCCGCCTGTTTTTTGGTTTACCCTCTATTGTCAAGCCAACAACGTTTGTCCTCAATCCCGTAATAAGAATCTGGGGGTATGAGCATTTATTTCGAACGCTTACTCAAACCTCATGAATTGTTTTCATTAGTATGAAACATTCAAAATGTAGATATTTTTAATCACAAGTTACTATTGGAGTTTTACCTGATAGCTTATCTTTCCTTTGTCATCAATACTGACGATTGCTGAACCGCTAGCTCCTGTGGCTTTAGGTCTGTCCAGAGCTTGGCTGCCAGATAAAACTGCATGCATAGCTGACACGACAGAAACAATAACGGTGACTTCAGCATTCAAACCTAAGAGAACTAATTTAAGATATAGTTGATAACATCAAGAGGTGCCAAATGGAAAATTTGATCAATAAACGTGACTTACTACTGCATGTTTGCATGGGTGTAATGGGTCCAGCCAACTCCCCCTCTTGTCCTTCTATCGTGATGCTTACAGATAAGAGACCCCTCGCTAAATTCTTCTGCATTTTTGATGTAAACTGGTCCCACACATCAGCTAAATCTAAATCCTACAGAAATTTAAACGTATAATATGTAAAGAAATTTAGACGTCATTGCTTTGTCACAGGTTGACAATAGACCCCTCTCCTGGTACGTCGCACTTTGCATCCAAAGATGACAGTCAAACTACATGTATAACCTCATTCATTAATCAAGACACCAAACAATTAATACCCCAACTAAATTCTGGAACAAATACCTCCTTCTTCAACCCTAACGGAACAGGAGTGGATTGTGAGGCAAAACCTGTTTCCAACCAAGGGAGAACTTTCTGCATACAATGGCTGCGTTTACCGATGGTATGGCAATATAACAGAGGTGAGTTTGAGCAATGATACTGGTCACATTAATAAAAAGTTATCTTACGTCTGGCAGTACAGTCTTTTGTATCTCAGCAATGACATCTCTGCCTTTCTTCAGCTGTAATGTAAATCTGGTCTCAAGCGTACGTTCTGTGTTTTCAGTTACTCCGTCAATGAGTGCAGCAAAATTGAGTTGATCCCCGTTGCCAGTTACAGCAATCATTATAATAGCCCCAGATCCAAGACGATCATTGCTCTTTCGACTTCGTCCACTTCCTTTGTCTCTACGTGTCAAGAGTACACTAAAGCTTTCTGGGAAACAACAGAACAATATATGTACGTTTTAAATATTCTACTAGCATGTTTGTCAATCACTTTATCAGCGTCAAACAATTTTTAATAACAGAAAATATTCTGCAGAACTGCATGTCTATATTTATACTTACCATCCGTTAATGCACGATGAGGCATGATCCGACCGCGGACCTCACCTTCTTCGTGAGACGTAGTTGACAATGTCACAAACAGCAGTTTACTCTGTAAATGCTGAACGTACGTTGCAGGGACGTGTTGCCATTGGCCACAAACCTAACAAGGAAATAGGATAACTTGACAATTCGGCAGGACTTCATTTAAAAAAAACACAGAAAACAAGTACCTTGTTGAAAAGATTACCAAGGCGCAGACAAAAATGATGGAAAATGGTTTGTTATAGGAAGGAGTAGGATGTTTTCGCATGGCTGCACATGCATGTATGTCTTGTCAGTATCGTCATTAGTCGTGTAAAGATGAAGACACGCATTCGTTTATTTCAGTGGGCCTATTGACTGTTGACATCCGACTTTTTAATTTTAAAAACGTAACATCTGCAACGAATCCGATGAGCATGGGCGTCATTGGGATGTTTCCGGAGGGAGCAAAGTACTCATCATCAGCAAAGTGAAAAACATTTAACGGAGAAAGGGGTCAATCAAATTGGCAAATTTCATTCCTTTTTCTCTTTGTTTTTATTTCTTTCACTTTTTTCTTTCTTTCCTTCCCTTTATCATACTTTTCCCTTTTTCTTCTCCAGGGTGGGGTTAGCACCCACTTGCCCCCCCCCCTGGCGACGTCCACATCGACGAGGGATTAATCTAATGTCACAACCTTACCATGTCAACGGTATCAACGAGGTCAATGTAGTGCACTGTAGAATTCAAGGCATCAGTAAAGGTTACTCTGATGGGACGATCCATTCTGTGAAAGAAGCAATTACGACATAATTGTACGAGGGCATGAGAATATTTGGGTACATTCTAGAGTGTAAATAGATCACACAATTTGCATTGTTTTATGTGCCGCGTAACAGGCGAAATATTAAATTTTTCACACCATTAGTTTGATCTACCCACCTCCTGTACTGTATGGAGTAATACAGCGTTCCATCAAGTAACGAGAATGATGCACGAGCAACAGCGTTGGTTTTAACATCAATCAAAGTGCCAGTTAACATGGAAACATAAACTACAAAAACAAAACCAGAGACCATATTAAGTATAATAATCCATTTACAAGATAAATAGTATAAATAGGATAAAAGCAGAGGCTTAACTACGGGAACGGATGCGGGTGGGGGCATGTGCACCCCTCCTAAGCAGATGCCTGTGCCCCTACAGGTGCCCCTCCCCCCAATTGAAATCTGTGAATAATCTCCGGGAGTCAGGTTGGTGTAGGGGAAGTCAGGTTGGTGTATACACGAGGAGAGGAAAGAGACACTATAGTGGCTCTTTCCTCTCCTTCCACCTCTGCGACTCAGGTTCAAATCCCACCTAGGTCAGCATGTGGATTGGCTTTTCAGTCCCTGTCTGACTCCTTGGGTTTTCCTTGAATATTCATTCTGGGTTTTCCTCCCACCTCTAAAACTGAACACTTCTTCATTGTCTTCTTAATTATCACTTCATCCTGTAATTGACGCTGAATGCGCTGTTGGATGAATAGATACACATTGTAAATAAAATGGAGCGGCAGCTTCTGGTGGTGGCCCCTCGAAAAAGCATGTGCACCCCTGGGTGCCACCCGGACATTTGGTCCTAGTAATGCCACTGGATAAAAGCAGGATGTAGAATTGTGATGTAACCAGAAGAAAATTAATTTGATGGCAAACAAAAAACGACATTCAACATTCCCAAATGTTCCAAACTTGACAAAAACTTCCAATAAAACAAAACCTATTGTCAATTATTTTACCCTCGCTTGTGCTACTATGTGTAAACACACGTATGTACGTTACTACTGCTGCGCACAGAATTCAAAAGCATGACTAAAAGACACAAAAAACGGGAATATGAAACCTTCTCCTCTCGAGGTGGTATCAATCAGATCATCTGAGATGTCTGTTGGGCGATCTCTTAACTTATTGACTTCTTCCGTTCTGCTGCTTCCTCTCTCATCTGTCAAGAGAAGCCATGAGAATCCACTACACGCATGAAATTGTGTTCTCGTATAGTCACAGAGTGCTTAGTGTAAAATCGTATTGAAATTGGAGGATTTGGGACTGTTAGGGTTAAATATTACGGTGTACGTATACAAAGAACAGGTGTTAAACTTCTATGAGACATTTTGTTCCTCACTTTATTCATGTGAATCCTCATATTCCTCAACGCCCATAGTCGCCAGGTAAATTCCCACAAATTTCGCAGGACACACAAAGTACCAGTAAAATTTGGGGGGTAGAGTGATCTGTTTGTAAAAACTGTTATCAAGGCGTCTGTAAGTATATGATTACAGGAATTCGTTGGCTGATAAAGTTCCCGTATTATACGGGATTTGTTTTTATTTATCTGTGCATTTACTCGTGACTCTGATCATTAAAAACTGTCCGAACACAAACAAAATTGGTTATTGTACAGAATTTCGATTGTACCCATTTGGTTAAAGTACGACATGGGTCATGTTTTGAGGGAATCTGTGTAGTTGGACAAACCCACCTTCTGCAACTGACTTTCACATGTTATGGTTACACAACAATGTCAGTTAAAACTCGCAACTTCACGTAACCCTGTGTCAAATGATGTTCCATCTTTGTAATGCAACTGTAGTTTCAGAAGATGTTGGGATATAATCTTAAACTTTACCCAGAAATGCCCACACAGTACAGACAGATTCCTTTCGTATCTAAAATATGCGCCAATTTTTCAAGATCACATTCTCGGCCTCACGCAAAGAACTATATGTGAAAAATGCACGTTAGCCAGATTTCCACAAGACACATATGTAGCATGGTGTAAACATACCACTTCCCTTATTAATCCGAACTTTGCATACATATATTGACTATTTGAGCAATGACAGGTATAACTTTGAAGCATTTGTGGCATATTTCACAAGTAAGCATTCGCCCTCCTGCGCAAGTTGACCGATGACAGGAACTGGCAATGACGAGCACACACACGGCTCTCTGCAGCTGGCATACCAGTCGCTGCACGTGCCTATTTGCAACGCACAGGGAAGCCCCGTAAATGATGCACACAGCCGGCAGAGTCAGTAACTAGTGAAGGCTCAACACAATCATGTACCGGTCAAACCTGGAGTCACACTGTTATCCGAAAAACAATTCAGCTACTATTATTGGTAGCACGCGTGGCGCTATTTTTACATCTCCAGACTACGCTTGAAGAAACCACTTGTGCGCAAGGAGGTTGCATTATGCGTTAATAGGTGGTTTAGTTTAAATAAAGTAACATTAACTGAAAATCAAAAGTCGGTTAGATAAAGGGATTAAAAAAAAGCATTTCAGTGACATATCTTTCAAACACCATAAGAGCATTTTCTGTCTTGCAAAACTGGCTGCTCTCCAAAGGCTCAAGAGTGACAATCACTCCAAAGGAGTGAATATCACTAAAAAGAGGAGTCATATCGAGTGGTCCTTTATAATGACTCCTTAACAGAGTGAAAATTTAACTCGTTTGCATGTTTGGTTGTGTTCGTGTTTTTAAATGCACAATTTACTCTTCGTAACCTTAAACACAAGTTAAAAGAGCTTCACAGTGGAAACTACAGACTGCGAGCTACATATTTGAAACTCGTTACATTGGACTAATTAGAAAAACCTTTGTAGTTGGAAGTATTTATCCGTTTCCCTGTTACAAAATGGCAAACCCATGTTCTCGTTAACTTAGGACTTACTTTGTGGACATGCCTTGCAACACTCTCCATCGAGAAGGACGGGTTCAACACCAGTTGGACACTGCGGCTCTATACAGTCCTTTTTGATGTCTCGGCAACTGACTCTCCCTGTGACTATTCCATCTTTAGCAATCTACAAATAACAAGCAAAGATCTTCCAGATGCTTTCTTCATTTTCAATCATGAATACCTTAAAAGAAAACATTACATGACAAACCCTTCAATCAAAAATAGTTATGACATATATATGCCCTATATTTCCATTTTTAAAACAAGTTTATGTGAATATTGAGGGTATTTGACCGAGAAGTGGTTCTACGGGGACGCAAGGAGCTTTAGTTCCCCCAACTACTGTCTATTCACAGAAAAATGCATAAATGAGAGAGCAGTAGCGGAAGTTATAATGTGACGTCATGTGCGAAGGGTCTCTCCCCCCCCCCTCAACAGACTAGAACCAAGCTTGCATTTTGACCCATATTGTAGGAAAGTTTTTCAGCAAAAGGAGTCTGGTAAAAGCTAATCGTAATAGTAAAGAGAAAATGTGTTCACGTTTAGTTGCCTAGCTATATCAAGTTTTCTGTATAGGACTTTAAGGGCTACAGGTATAACTCCCTTAGGAGCATTTAATGGCAGCAGTTATCTACTTAAAATGTGTGGGCATCTCCGGGTGGGGTCGACTTGACAGATGGGATTTCGCGACACACCCACAGGGCATGTATTAACAATATCCGAATTAAAATTGAATTTCTTGCCTGTGAACTGCAAACCTCATGTAAACTGATGAAAAAGCTTCACATACATATACTAGGCATTTGAGAGGTTACGTAAAGAGTAGAGTTTGATAAAAGGACCTTTACATGGAGCAGACGTTACCAACAAAAAAAAGACAACACAAAATTCAAACACCGCATTAAACTATACATGGCTCGACAAAGGCCCTATATCTCATCTTCCATGACACTGTCTTTGCCCTTTCCAAATAAACAGCTGCAGCTGAGTACAGATTATGCATAATATCCGATGATGGAAAGCACACGTGTTGCTTACCAGAGCAGAAGCCTGTGCCACCAAAAAATTGGAACCTGCCAGACCCTTGCGGTAAGGGAAGTAGATCATTTAAATCGAACCAGAATCGGCATATATTTCGACTAGCAATTTGGGCAATGGTCACCAAACAAAATGTGTGCTGTCACGTGAAAACTTACAATAACAAAGATGCCAATGAAAAACAAAAGAACCCTTACACTCCGAAGCATGTGTACAGTATAGATAGGGCTGTGACGAGTACCCGGACGCATCCGGCGAAAATTATATAGGGCAATGTGGTTCAATTTTCCAGTTTTTTCATCAGAAACCGTATTAACAAATTCCAACTTTTCCTTTCAGAAGGTAAAGTTAAGCTTTTTACTGATCAGGTGTTAATAGAATGCGAAAAAATCACTAGGAATATAAAGCCTAGCATATAGCTCCTGGATTTTATTTCTTTCACATACATGTACATGTTTTTCAGAGTATAGTGAAGCAGCGCAGCAAGGTACATGTAGGTATAATGCTCGGGAAGCGCCAGTTGGCAAGATGTTTTACATCCGCCTTTGGGGTTTTAAAAGAATATTTAGTCTTATCGGTACCCGATTAAAAAAAAATTGAAACAAAAATGCAAAAGCATCCACCCTCAAAACGTAAAACTTGCACTTTTTCTTAAAAGAAGCTGGCGTTAAAATCTACAAAATAATTGTGATGGATGGAGTTAGCTTCTCACAGCACGTGCGTAGTAGGGCCTAACTACCAGATGGATTCAGTTTGTGCCTGCAATCGGACTCATGTATGCACGGCTTCCAATGACAAATCCTTTTTAAAAGAGTACATGTACAAGGTGTCTGACTTCACAGGCATCAGCTAATTGTGTGGTTGTGCAGTGTCGCACTCCCTTGTGAAAAGTTTTCAAAGCAGACAAATTACAAATAAATCACCTGACCCAACAAATCAGGATTCAAACCGGCAAGCACACGAAAGTTTCATTCGACATTACAAGCTATCACTTGAGCTAAAACAGTTCGAAGAATCAAAATTTACCTTTAATTAGTTTTTGGTTGAACAAAGAAACTGGTTGCAACTTGCAGTGCAGAGGGTTTCCACCTAGGACTACTACTGGATGCACTACGTGTGCATCGAACATGTAGGCCTACATAAACTTAGTCAGGCGCTCACAAGTACAAATCGAACTCTAATCACTGTCTGTGCTCAGCCCAATAGCAACTAGAAACGGCTTTGCGTGATTATCGACCCTTTCCGGCATTTTTTTTATTCCTAGATTAACGTTCAACTGAAAATAATGACTTTGGGCCTCGCCTTGGTGTCTTTAATCATGCCTCTGTTCGTCGTGGGAGTAGTGAAGCATTGACCCTACGTGTTCACTCAACTGCACATGTACATGTAGATCCACAGCAAGACAACACTTGTTGCAAAGTCTCGTTATTTTGGCAGTGGCGAAGCACTGAACACTGACGCAGGTGAGAGGTAGTAGTGATAGAGTAGCGCTCTTATGTCGGTCGTGGGTTTGTCCAAATAAGACTCTCACACACAAACCATGCACGAACACAGCACCACCACAGCCATGGAAATCCCACCTATAAGCCACTGCCTCTAGGCACGTCGACATGCAAAAAACACCATCATAATTGACAATCTCAAATGGTCAATTTGTCTGCTGATTTGCCCCACTTTTTGTCAGGACCGAGACTTTTTGAAACAGGTGTTCCACAACACAGGAAGCTGTGAATATGAACGAGGAAAATTGCATTAAGGCTTGAAACTACAGGCAAAAATTTCTCCTTTTGTTGACTTATTTCTCACAAAATCGTACATATCTTAGCCTGGCGTCAACCTGTTACGCGAATAATACATGAAATGTTTTGCCAATACATTTAATGAAAAAAATATCATTCGTTTACTTATAAAAACATGTATCTTTTCATTGACCTACAAATAATTATTTACTTCAGGGAAAACATAAGGCGGGACATGGGAGTGTGTGAAGATGACTCGGCTTTGAAAAAAAGAAAACATAAGCCGCCCTGCTCCATGACCCCTTCCCACGACACACGATGAGTAGCACAGTCAGGCTGAAATGCCGACAAGTAAGCTGCCTGATACTGGTTTAAGCACACTGGGGGTTACAACTGACTACTATAGTTGAACTACAGTTAGCGTCTCTTGGAAGTTTGCAAAGGTATGCTGAGTTTCAAGAGATGCGTGGAGCCCTTCCTTGAAGTTATATCCCGACCTTGTGCCTTAGTGAGCGTGAAGATAATGGCCACAATGCTGTTTGTGATTTCATTTTAAATTAATGTCTAGAGACAAACTTGATTCAGGACCGAAAATTGATCACAAGAGTGAAAATATTGTTGGGTTAGATTTCAAAACAGGAAACAAAGCGGATTTAGAAAGCCATTTTCAACCGATATATAGTGTTGACGACAGGGAAAAGTCAGTTCGACCGTTCAATCGACAAAACACAAAAATATTCCAACAATGATAAAAATGTAGCGTCTAAGTCAATGTGTAACACACTGAAAGTGATCTACACGTACATCTGCGCGCTGTCTCGAGGATGCCTGTTTCCTGCAGTTGCAGATAATGAATTTGTCGACTTGCATAATTGAGTTTTCTGTCACACAGGATGCGATACAGACGCAAGAAGGCCTTTTCCAAGATGGTAGAAAATCCTGTAATTGATGGTACCTATCATGCAGGATGGTAGTTTCGTTCAGTATCAACTTGCTAAAAAGTCACTCTATACTGCCTTCGCTACGCTGTGTAATAAGAAAACTACCGGTACATTTGTACTTATGTATAACATGTGTATATTGTTAGTCACCCACTCATCAAATTGAATTTGGATCACCATCATTAAATCGGCAGTGAAAAAAATTGCATTTAATAAGACATCTCAGTCAAAACTCTCATCAGTTCTACTTGTCAGATACAGAAAGAGCGAATATTGCTCATGTTTTGTGGTCGGTCAACTTGCATAACACGTGCAATTTTAATCAGTCTGCGTTCCAAATGATTATCTTAAGTACAAGGACCACTTAATGGTCCACAGTGTACAGGAATTTTTCACTTTGCACGAGGGACCATCTTACCTCATCAAGTTCACACATTTGTCAGTCGCATGGGAAGCAGGGAAATTGGTGGAAAAGATAAAGTGATTATGTAGGTCAAAAAGTCAAGTGAGTACAGTGCAACTTTAGCCGTATGTCACAATGTGAAAGGTGTTAAAACGAGCCTGTGAAATTATGGAACACTGCACGGTGGTACTTCAGTCACTTCGAATTGTACTAACTCTAAACCTAACTCTGGCCCTGACTGCTAAGCTAAATTTAACCCAGAACTGATCGTATCTCAACCGAGCCAAAGAATCCTGTAATTAACCCTAACCCAACTACCCACCCAACCATCCACCCCCCAAAGAAAAACAAGACAGCATACGTTAATTCTGTTCTTTCTGAGGAAAAATACCAGGTATGGTTTTTCGGGATCCGCTAAAACAGTCAAATACCTGCATAGCGTCATGATCAAGAAGATGAAATTATTACAGTATGGAACAATGTCTTAACTATATACCTTAACGTATATAAAGATGTGTTAAATTAAGCTTCAAAGGGCAGATGACTACAAGGCAAAAGGAATGCTTTAAGTTATCACATCATACAGTAGATGCAGTTTGAATTTGGTGCAGGCAATTGGCAAGGTTATGGGCATCAGGTTACGGTCACCCAGCAGGACTGCAGGGGTGACCGGGGTATTTTGACAGCACAGATAAATGGAAAAGTCTGCTCTCAGCCTGTAATGACTCTACCTTATGTTCCATGCGACTTCACTAGGTGAATAAGTCATCTGGATTTATTGCGGTAAAAGTTGTTCTTAAATTATAAAGACGCTATGTGTGGAGGACACGTCCCGCCGATTGCAATGGCAGGTTCATCACTTTAAACACCACGATGTCAACTGTTTTTGCACCGCCGCAAATAATGATGGGCATGACGTACTCGTAATTCCCTCCCCCAAGAGATAATTTTGGCCAGACACATCAACCGCGATTTTATTATTTAAAGCTTCGGCTAACAGAACTCAACCCACAAGGACATAACTCATTCAGCTCATTTGGGATGACTCGGTTGAATTTCGCTGTGCTCCTCAATAAAACCAGTCGTAAAACTGTCACAGCCTCTATCATAATTCGTGGACAATACCAAGAGCTAACATTTTGCTTTTGCGAATACACATGTACATGTGGCCGATATTCAGTGTTCATAATATGAAAGAATGGTCCCTCATTATTGTTACTATTCCGTCTTGAAACTTACACAAAACAAAATACTGGAAAACACCGCAATGTCATACAACGGCAGACACAAATGAAATACAGATGTCAGTTTACATTGTGCAAATGTGATTCCCTGATTTCTTTCAAGAGAAAAGCCCAAAATTACTGATACGTTTTCTCTTTACTCTTTAGCTCAAATTCCTTCATTGTTTCGAAGTCTCGAAACTTAGAAAATCAAGAGGGTGGTATCCAGAGTTTTTATAGGCACAAAAATTTGATATCAAATAAGAGTCCTTCCATGTAGTGACCTGAAACAAATCTTAACAAATTTCGAAGTTATATTTTTTAAATAGTGAACAAATTCAAGTTAACCATTATTTCCACTCATACCACATTATTGTTTATTAGATTATTGTTCACTCACTCAGACATTCTTTGGGAGGGGTTCAGTGCAAACTTTAAATTAAAAACCAGAAAACCCTGTCGAAATATACAGTTTTACTCGCTACTCTAACCGTGGCAGAAAACTTAAGATCTATTGGCAGGGCCATTTTTTACTCGCTCGAGATTCACTTTCTTTGCATGAGGAAAAATCGAAGGGCAACACGGACGCACGATCATGAATGTCACTAACACTCATATAAAAAGGTGCAGTCAGCACTCAGTTGTTCATTTGAACTAGTTTTACCAAACTGCAGGCCCCTTTTCTGTCAACAAAATTAAAGACTTGGTGATCTACATGATAAAATGACCTTAGGAAATGTCACATTTTAATCATTTCTACTATATTGTCAATTTTATTTTGAGTTGATGTAAATGGACTTTGTAGAATTCTTTATTAAATGTTCCGGGAGTGTATCCAATCTAATTTCCCCGCTTTATTATGTTAGTTGGAGGCATACAATCTACTATACTTACCGGTACGCACTGACAGTCCATGCAAGTCATTTCACCAAAACCAAGGTCTGGGTGCCAATGTGCCTCTAAATCGTAGAACACATCATCAAATATACAACCTGTTGATAGAGACATGACACATGAGTTTTACCGTCTAAAGCACCTTCTGACGATCAAAACTGTATATTTATGAATGGTGTAAGAACAATACCGTAAACAACTCGAGCAGGTAAATCATTAATCTTAACTGTCAGCTCTAAGCCATCATGTGTTATTATTTCAAAAAAGAGTGTTCACCCGCTAGATCTCTCCGAACATCACATATTCACCTCCTACTTAAGTGGAACACGTGAACCCCCCAGGGCAAGCAGTTAGACTTGGAACTTCCTGTACGAAGGTTTGCATGAGGGAAGGCTCGTAACAGGCCGATGAAGGTAAACACCGCATAGGAAGACGCGTAATTTAAACCAGTACATGCTCGGCCTCCTCGAACTGACAATTCCCAGTCGGCACAAACATTCATCATGTCTCAGCAACTTCACAAACCAAGTTTGCACAAACAAGCAATATTTTTCACTACATATTAAAACATTCGCCTTTTCCAAAATAATTATGGATTTTTGAAAACATGGGGACTTCTGGTGGAATGCAAAATTTCTCGTATGTGGACGTTATCTTTGCGAAGCCTTGTTCGCCGGGTTAATTCGTTCACTCAAAGCAAATCTCACTTAAAATGTGTCACCTGTATAGGAATGACTATCCGGACTGCTGCAAATTATGTTTGGCTAAATTCTAAAGCCGCTGAGGAATACCGTGCGATTGCAATTTACTCAAATTATAATATCAAATGATTTCACTGGAGACTCTCAGATAGGAATGAACTAAAGCCGCCTCTGATTACTTCACCTACGGGCTCGGGGCAGGCAGGGGCGCTGTGTTACGGATTCATTCACAAAATACCACTGGATTAGCACAGATTTTACTGGCTTGCGCATCTCGTGCACATAATTAATTTAAGGGTATAACTGGATTGTATTGCAAATCGCTCTCGCCATCCCGAATATACCACACTCTTTTCTAAATCTACTTCTTTGTTACTGCATGCGTAGTTTTAAAGGCTAGTTAAAGGTATTTTGTTTGGATTCCATAATACAAGGGCTAATTCAAGGTCAGTATTATTAAGTATTCACTTAAGATGTAGATCAAGATCATTAACAGAGGGCAGCATGCATCATTGGAACGCAACACTTTTCGATCATGCCTTAAATTCAAGCCTTTCACTCTCCAATTAAAGGCTCTTGGGTTTTTTTAGCCCATCTTCTAAATTTACGATCAAATTTAAATTCAATCAGTTATACACAGCATGTATCACGAGGATAATAACGTGACGCTCACAGCGCCAATTTTAATTCTCAGGAATAGTGCACAAATTCCAGCCTTTCATTGGCAATTCGTATAGAGATCTTACAGAAAACACAGATAGGCCTACTGAATTTCCCTGTAAGTTTGATGGTTACCCCCAATGTCGAGAACTAATTTAGCATAACTCAAGTTCAATCACCAGTTGTCAAATGGTGTTCCAGATGACCTTGTAACATAGTGTATGACTCAGCGGCCCACTTCTTAAACGGACATGGCTCATAACGCAAATCGCTATAGTGAGGATTTGAAATGCTAAGGCATTATAGGTTTCTCAACATGGACCTATACAGTAATAACAACGCAAATTTGCCATTCACACCATGGTTTGACGGTCAAAGAGTGCAGACTCCGATTATAACCTATTTTCGAGTCGTTCCCAAAAGTCATTATACCATAAAAGGCATTAGCATGAGCATTAAAATGATTAGGCAATGACAAATTGATCAGCTACAATGTCACTACGAAACCTTTGACTTGTGGTGGTATGCCTACTATGTAGTTATCTCAGACAGGACAGCAAATCTACCACGAACCCGAATCGGAGTCCGATCCTTCAAGTCAACTTGTTTACATTTACCCACAAAACAAGCAATGTGCATCAGCTTTACAGATACATCAATCAGGGTGAATCACAATTGTAATTCTATTAACCTCTAGTTCAATTTATCAACTACGTTGTTTCTTTTTTTTGTCTCTATTTTCTTTCTTTTGGCGTATTTTTTTCTCTCAACTCAGACCCTGCGGGCCTACGTGCAAATTCAACAACTTTTGAGAGGTTTGAACCTATTCAGACTTCAGAACGAGGGCTACTCTATTCACAGATGTAAATGTGTGCTTCGTATGTGCTTGTCCAGGCAACGAAATTCGTCAGATATTTGAAGCCAGTTTAAAAAGTGACCATCTGGATAAAATAAACACGAGTAGGTGGACACAAGCGAGGTAATTGCCGATAACATTTATCAAGTTATGTATTGAAGTTAATACACAGGATGCACACAAGCTGATGGAGTGTCACGGCTCGGTACTATTAATCACGAAAACAAAACAAAATGTCTGTGCACGGTGAACTCCATCACCCGTGTGGCAAGAGGGTTACCAACATCATAAATAACGTTTGTGGGAACTGCGTGCAAATCTCAACTTCACACAATTACACAACTTTCGACAAGAGAGGCAGAATGCCTATGCTTGCGACTGCTGTGTAACTCTCTCCCAAGTGGAACGCAAAATGGTACTTACTCTTGACCAGTATTATTAGAGGAACAAAATCTCTATCGGGTAGGGTAAAGAAACTAGAATCTAATCACAGTAACAGCGTGGAATGGAACGGAAAGAAATTATCTCTCTTATTTTTGTGTACCACTGTTGTTCTGCAGTGCACTCAGAGCTAAATAGCGTTGGGGCTTACCTGGTATACCCCGTGAGTGGGGAGTATCTGGTTCCGCTCTGATGGGAATCTGGGCATGTCCTTTTCTTCCGGATTGGGCGAGTGGAATCAACGATGCCAGTAAACAGGGTATTATCAACCCGATACTAAGCCGCACTGAGTTAGTTCTCCACATCCTCCTACGATGACATGCAAGAGCAATATGAGCTGACGTGACAAGTGTTAATCTCTATCTCCACGACAAAGCCCACAGCGAAGGCGCTAGATGAAGAACTGCAATGCGTTAAATGCTGAATGCTGACGAAGATGCAGTTTAGTTACTCCCACCTACAAGTCGATGCCGTCTGTGCGTACCGCGCAGCGCGAGGTCATTCAGTAAGGTGCACAATAAAACCCATCTGGGGTGTGTTGCACACGATTGCTTCGAGTCTAAGCAGTCAAGAAATTTGCCGTCCACCCACTTGCAAAATCGGTGGCTCTCGAACGTGACACGACGTTTATGAACAGCAGAAATAGGCGAAACTGACTGAGATTACAATGCAGTGTACGATTCACTCATTTTTTGGAATATCTAGCATGCCTCTGGACTGAAGCCAGGACCTGGTCTGACTATACGGATAGATTCAATGTCGAGCCTCTACATACTGGTCTTAACTACACGTGACGCGCTCAAGAAAGAAAGTCATTCAGAGGTCGTCAAGAGTTTGCCGCGGCTTGACAGCAACAGATTTAAGAATGGAGTTAAGTTCAGTCTCGCCGTCTTATGCTGTAGAATGCAATCGTGATCACTCAATAGTACAGTACGTCACGTTGGATGGCCCTGGAACGAGCACAAACTACACGTCAAACATGAAAAGCTGCACATCTAGTGGCAATAAATTATGTTAAACAAGCTGCGTCTGTACACAACGCGCAGGGCAAACGTGACGTATTTTTGTCCGAAAGTGGAATAGGACGGCAGTTTAGCTTGTCTGACAAATCGCACAATGCTGACTATAATGACAATCGGTATGTGATTAAGCCGCAAACCTCATAGAATCTGTCGTTTCCTTTGCACGAGCTTAATCTCTATAAGTGTCAGCCTTACCATTAACTTGATTGTCGTGATTGCTTTGTTCACATTCTCCTTTATCTTGGTGAATTCAACTTTTGCCTTTTGTCATCGTATCGTAAGTTGCAAACTTCTGTCATCTTGTCAGACGATCAGATAGCCGTGACAAAAAGAAGCGCGGAAGCAGACCTGCTTTTTTATGGCTATGGGACGAAGCAGGTAGTCAAGGGGGAACCAGAACCCATTTCGGGGGGGGGCAAAAAATTAAGGATTATGGTTTTTGTGGGCTTTCTCGGGTGCAGTATAAAACCAAGTTCGGAGGCACAGCCTTGGGAATGAAATAGGCCCACACAATCGTCCTTTCTCATGGATCACAAACTGCTCATCTCTGGGGATGGCATTGGTTGCCCCACTCAGCCACGCCATTGGACACAGTAATAAAAAAACAGATAGCATTCCTATTAAGTCGTGGAAAGTTGGCATTGACAACCTTTTACTTAGTATGACTGTTTATGCGCCAAAGCGCAGAATTATGTATTTCTGTGGGTAGACGTGGGGCTTTTCTCTCCTGAGTTTTAAACTTAATTCAAGTTAACAGATGTATACCTCAAATAAAAAACCACATCAGTGGTTCGGCTATTAGTTAAGATACAGTCGACAGGACAATAACGCACGCATTTTATAAATTCCATTATGCAAAACTTGAGAGCAGAAATTCTTCTAAGTTAGTCTCCTTTTTAACAAATTACTTTCATATACCTGTGTACATATCACTGCTTATTTTCTCTTATAGAGAATGCCATTCATCCTTGAAGATCACTTCATCGTGTCCGCTCGATCCTTGTCAGTCGCTAGGGCATTACTCCGGCTGATTAGAATGTCCAGCAATACACTGGCCGGTCGTTGGTTAAAGAAACTCCTTTTGAAATGACAGCACACTAGACCTGAGGGGAAATGATAGAGTGTCTGTCATTATGATCACATCACTTAAGTTTCTGGTTGATGATTTGACCAATAAATAACATATGATACTAGCCTGAACCCGTGCGTGCAGGCACTATTGAAATTGGTATTCATCTCCCGTCCCCCATCCCACTCTGGATCTCTCTGTGTGCCTGCTTTAAAGTCAACAATGTTCAGTCTTCAATGTTCTCGATCGGAAAGAGAAGCTGAATTTGAAATTTGAAGAGATGCATGATTGCAACGCATTTCAGCTCCAAACTGTGAATGTGTGTTCGTGCGTTACCATATTTTTGAATAAAGTGTCTGCGAGCAAAAGTACCTTGACCTGAAGAAACAGAATTAGCACTTTGGAATGTATCCACCAATTTTAAGTATTCCTGTAATGGACGACACAAATACACGCACTTTATAACATGACTCAATGACTTATTGATAAACACATAGCCTAAACTCTATTGGGTCGGATTAACAAAGAGGCCCTCTAAATATGTAGATTATACAGATCGCAGAATCTTCACCATAAACAATGACCGATACGAATAATTTGTGTAAACTTTTATTTTCTGCAGGTATTTCAGGCATTGTAAATATTTGATCGAATGTAGTACACTCTTAATGACGAAGTGAGAAAGAGGCGATGATTTTGAGGCATTATTTTAAACGGTACGGCATTTTGAAGAGTACATTTATTTATACAGTCTGACACGTCATATGAGCACGCGTCACTACCCCAACCGACTGATTAAACTGATAGAAACTGACCGACTGACCGATGGATGGAGCAACAGGTAAACCAACCATCGTGTTCCACTATTGGCCATGAACTGTGGCCACCACCACCTTCAAGCCTGCGAGACGACCAAGAAATCGGCCTGTTTACCAGTGTTTCAATAAAAAAGAAGTACATGGTGTATACATCTCGGTTTTTTCATTGTACATACCCAGTTGCATCTGTTGGATGGATTTGGCTATTCTCATGTTGAATTCGGTCGTGTTTTGGCTCTTATTCCTCCATGGTTACAGCTAAAGCATGATGATTTGGGGTTGTTTGTTATACAACCAACAAAGTCAGCGTTATACCACATACAAACAACACTGACGTCTTACTTACAGACCAGCTCAACCTCAACTCAGTGCATGGAGTCCAGACGTATCATTTAGAAAGGTAAATGGTGGACTGTCCATATCCCACACGGCAGCAAAATAGTACATCAAGCATTCATAAGAGCGTGGGTTTCAGCTACGGTAAGCAACCTAGCAACATATGATACACTCCAAAACAAATTATTAAGTATCTGTTCACTTCACCATCTCTTGTCAATCATATTGAACGCTACGTTGAGACCCTCGTCCATTCTTCGACTCCGTGGGCAGAAAGCACAAGTTTCGAATGTCTGCGTTGTATCAGTAGATAAAACGTCACAGCCAAAGTGCTACCGAATGCCACGTAATCAATATATATATTTAAACGAGATAAAATCGGCAGAGTACCCGATTTAAAAATACCGTACTATAATGCTAGTAATAGTAGGCTTAAAATCTAAATGAGAGATGGGAAATGATGTAGGTCTATGAATGAACTTAGAAGAAATAAAAAGCAAGGGAGTCGGGACTTAAGGGGACGCAACTTTGAGAACCTTTTCACAGGTGTTCAAATTACCCATAGCAGATACTATGAATCTTTAGATGTTGAATACCATGGACGATTTCATAGTTCGTGGAGATGGGCTATTTGGCATACCAACAGACATTGATGAGGAACACACAAAGGTATTATTGTAACAATTAGATTAAAATGCTACCCTACACAATAAAGCCTGCAGTATGAAAAGCGGGGTCAAATATTTGCCAGACTGTGGGCCAGATAATGATGTTGATTTGTGGAAATTGAACTATGAAACACAGATGGGGAGATACGTACTTGCCAAAGGTCATCAACAGTTTGCACACGGTTCTGCAGGCCCCTGCTGCAGTATTATTTATAGCAGTTTAGGGGCGGATTCAGGATTTCCGGGGGGGTGAACTAAAAATTGTAAGGGGTTTCAGTCGTAAAATTATTTTTATTTATTTATTTTTTTGGGGGAGGGGCGTGCGCCCCCGACGCCCCCTAGATCCGCCCCTGTATAGAGTTCTGCATAAGGCCTTGTCACAACCCTGTCAAAAAGTGTAATAGTTTTCCAAATGCCTTGACTTCTGCAGTGATTATTCCTTTTCTTTAATATCACACGGATGTATGAATCTTCAATAAACGTACGAAAGCACAATTGTTTATGTAAGCCTATAATTGTTGACTAAGACGTTTTGTGCACCAATGAAGGCCGGTTCGTAACACTGCAGGCGAATGTGAAAGTGAAGCGAATCAAGTTGACGTTAGGAAAGATAAGCAGCAAAATTTCGCTCTAATTGCAGTATGTTGAATTTTAAAGCCAGAATACATCAAAAGAGTTTAACTGGACATGCAATTTCGTTAAAACCCACTTATGCTTTCAGGAATGTTTTCAGCAACTCTGAGCTAACATTAATGAGACACTGTGGTGTAGAAATGAATAGGATAGAGGGACTTAACGCCCTCTATCGCCTTTTTCCTGTTGAGAGTTGAAGTAGACTTAATCTTGCGTGCACACACATGACCGCACAGTACAACATACATATAGGCCTATCTGTTTATTTACTCTAAAGAGCATAACATGTTATACATTTGTTCAGACGAGAAACGTATTTGGAATGAAGTGTAAGCATGGGGCACTTTGCTTAATGTGTATGGACTACCACCACAACTACCCGTACATACAGCCGTATATTAGCCAGTGATGCGAGGTGATCTGTTTACTATAATAAGACAACTCGAGCGCTCGTCAACGAGAAGCTTACATCGTCGCCTTAACCACTGCGTAATTTCCCGTATGTGATCAATGAGCCCACCATATGATTCCGTATACCTGCTTACAACAAACTTCGCAACCAAAGTTCCCCTATCATTGTGTGACTACAGATGTCCATGGCGCACAATGTTGAGCCTCTCACCCTTTTTTTCTCGTATGATACATGTATTAAGAGAAAGTCGTGAATGGCACTGGAAGGGGGAATTTGACAGACTAAAAAGACTCCTGAGAGGCGGCCCATGCTCAAAGGCCGGCCGCCCATACACACCTCATCTTTGGAAGGATTCTGTTGAAGCATCTTCAGGTATTGGCTATTCAGCCCACCCAAAAGAATCTCCTCCACTGACAGCTTAGCAGAATCTCCCATAGGCTTCTCAAGAGGGGCTTATAACCTTTGGAAGAGCGGACAACCCTTCATCTAACGTATAATGATAATTCCGTCTATTGTCGGTGCTGTGAACCGTTTAAGTTTGGCAGCTCGACATGTGGGCTTCAAAAATAGATTAAGTGACCGATCGTGGAAGAGAGTTGGAAAATTCTGAATGAAATACGCCCGGAGTGGCCTGAAGACCCATGAAGTGTCAACCTGTGGTATTATGACGCCCAGTCTTAGCATGGGCTATAGATATGAATTACATCATTTTAAAGTAATAAAAGAGGCACATCTGCATGTTTATAACGACTGATTTTGGCAACCTTCTCAGTAAGGCTTTTTACATAACACAAAGTTTGGAAAATGGACATAGGCCAAAGGCGACATCAACATCAATGGGTTTTGAGTGCATCGGACGGTCAGACTGAATCCGAGCAAGGAAGGGTGAGCCGAGAGGTTCACATCTTTCAATATCATTCCGAATCATGACACAAAATATTACAATTGTGTTGAGTGAATTGAGTCAATGCCTCTCCCCATAC